TATGTCTGCTATTGTTATTTAAAATTGAAAATTGAGAAGGGATGGGAAAACAATTTGAGTGGGCTCTTAAGCATTCATCTTTCTTCAGTAAATCCCATTCAAGATCAATACAAAGCACTAAAAGAAAGAACTAAGCATTTATCACATTTTTCTGTTTTGGAAAAGAAATAAAAGTAATTCAATCAATTCTCTTACCCATATCTGATTCACACAAGAAATAACACCAATGAGAAATCCCTTTTTCATTTTCAAGGGCACTTTCCTAATATAGTTTCGAACCAGAAAATGAGAATAGAAAGTTAGGGTCGTTTACCTTGGTTTCTGTTGACGGTCAGAGTTAAGGAGAGAACCATCTTGAACGGTGGCCGACTTTATTAGGCTCGATTGTGTAGAGTTGTAGGACGAGAGGCGGTGATGGCGAGCTATGGTCGAAAGAAAGGTGGCCACCAAAGTATGGTGGCCAAGCAATTTAAAACATGACCGAGAGATGGAGGGGGTTCATGTGTTGAACGGTACTGTGTGTGGCTGAGGGAGAGATGGAAAGTGGAGAGAAGGGGAGGAAGCTGAACATGTTCCACGTGAATTGTGTTTTTTAGTTTAGGTTTAGGTTTAGTTTTTTTTTGGGTAAATTAGTTTTTTAGCCATCGAATTTTTAAGGTAAATATGTTATTAGGTCCTTATATGTTTGGTTTATTTTTGCGTTTAATCACTTTCAGCATTGGTTTTTGAATTAACCTTTTGTGTTTGTCCTAATTTAGTTATTTTCCAGTTTTTAGGTTTAGTTATAATTTTGTTAGATTATTTGGGTGTAGATTCCTCATTTATGTGCATGTTTCATTTAGATCATTACTTTAGTTTTAATTTGTATGCCAAATTTTACATTTAGTTAAATTTAGTCTTAATTCTAATCTGTATATACACTTTTTAAATTTTTAGTTTAGCATGTTATGTTATTGTTTTTATATTTGAGTCATATTTGTACATTATAGGTTAGTATGCATGGTTTATAATTTTAAATTTAGAAATACATGTGTATAATTTTTTTTGTATGTCACGTTGTATGCCCTTTTTTATTTTGTTTAATTAATTTTGGTATGACATTTTTTGCACAATTTGTATGATATCCTCATTTGCATAACTCGACATATTACATAATCGGACTAAAGGGTAATACCCTTTTAATTTAAAATTGTCCTAAGTGGCCTGTCTTAACTGATTAGAGGGTCGTTTTGACGATTTTAAATTAAAAGTGTAAACCGAAAGTGAAACCAAAAAATTGATTCGTCACCTAAAATTTGGGAGCGAGAGAAAAGAAAATGTTCGTTTATTTAAATTTATCGAGAAAAGGTTGTTATATCTTTAAGATCTGGTCTCGATATTTATAAATAATCGAACATTCTTTATCTTTCTAAAACGACTTGGTAATTTTAATTTAATTTATTTGAGTGCTTTTGAATATTATTAAATTCACATCTTTGTTTTATGAGATCAAAAGTTAAATTAAGTTCGAATTTGTAAAGTTCATTGCAAAGACGTTAATTAATCGACTAGGTACCGTTTTAGGGCGTTGTGGGGGTGCTAATCCTTCTCTGCATGTAACCGACTTCCGAACTCAGATTTTGGTAACGCATACCTTAATTTGTTGTTTTAATTAAAATCAATTTTTTTAAAAAAATAACAAATATTTTTTGGGTGCCCAATCACACCCTAATCAAATATTGGTGGCGACTCTTTGAACCGTATTTTTTCGATCGTAAAGGAAATCCAAAATTTTTCGAAACGAGAGGTTTTTAAATTGCATTTGTTTTTAAATTAAAGAGATAATTCAAAAGTTTTCAAATCTCGCTTTTTCATCACTTTTGTCGTTTAGTTAAATGTAAATAATGGTTTTTGGTTTTAGTTAATTAAAAATGGAGTTAATTGCATCCTATATCTCCAAACTATGGTCATTATTTTAAAATGATCTTTAAACTTTTGAGTATTCTAAATTTATCCTCAACCATGACTTTCATTCTAAATTAGTCCTTAAACCTTTGAATATTGCAATTTTATCATTGGACTATGACACTCATTCTAAATTGTTCCTCAACTTTTGAATCTTTTAGTTTCATCCCCAAAGTCATCCAAATATTTAACTAGTTTAAAGCATAGTTTAACCTAAATTTTCTTTTTTTCAAATATATAATAATATAACTTGGTCTAACTATTATATTAACAAAGGATGTGATTAGTATATACTTATAGTTTGGGATGAAATTGAAATTTTCAAGAAGTTTGGGTGCTGATTTAGAATGAAGTTCATAATTTGAGGATGGAAATTAAACGTTCAAAAGCTTGAGGATTAATTTTGAACGATGGTCAAGTTTAGGGATAAAATTAAAATATTTAAAAATTTAAAGATTAATTTAAAATAAGAGTCGTATAATTTGAGGATGTGTGATGCAATTAACTCTTAAAAATATTATATGAATTGATTCGTATTTATGACAATTATTAAGCTTTGAATTTCCTTTATAAAAAAGTAATAAAAAGTAGGGGAAACTTAAAATATATACAATCCCTTTCAAAATTAAATATGATATCTTCAAATTGAAACGTGTCTTTTGGGAATGAATGGTTTATATATTTCATAATTGTTGCACATATTTTATGTAGTGCATTATTACGTATAGTAGAACATTCCTCGTGGAAAATTATATTAATTTTTTTTTTAAAAATCGAACTAATTTAAAAGTAAAATATAATAAAATATAAGATTAATTGAAATACACTATAAATGTAAAAAATTAATTAAAATATGGTTGACATGAAAAATATAATAGAAATATACAATGTTTTAAATATATATATATATATTATCAATTAAAATATCATCCATGTTCATTTTACGATAATGGCCTTATCTTAAATATAATAGAAAAAGATAATATAATTTAAGGTTAAAATATGCATTAAATGGAAATAATTTAAATATTGTATATTAAAAATAGGTAATGGCCTTGTTTTTATATGCGAGAAGGCAAAAAGCCAATTAATATACAAAGATAAGTGAAAAACGAAGAAGAAGAAAAATATATGATTCATCATTTCGATTACATATTTGTCAAGGTGCATTAATATTATGAAATAAAAAGTCTATTTCGGTAGTCTTATTGTTAGCCCTAAGAACTCGTCAAAATTTAAAAAATAAAAAGCAACAAAAATTAAAAAAAAAAAGTTTGCTGTTTATTATTGCATGGCAACACGTTTAGGGACAGCTGGGTTGGTAGGGCAAACAATCTGTGAACCAAGAAAATATTTGTACTTTAAAAATATAAAAAGTTTAGTTTTTAGTGTGTGATTTGTATCAAATCAAAATTTAATAACTATTTTTAAGTTAAATCAAGTATATAAAATGTTTGTGTTTTAATTACAAAATGTATAAAATATTAAATTTTCATAATAAATTTTATCCAAATCCATAAATTAACTAAGCCTAAAAAATATTGTATAATATTCAATCCTTTACTGTCCATTATGGTTGATCACAATCTAAAGAGTTGCATGTGCACATTGTCCAGTTGCATGTGTTCCTAGTAAATGTGGCTACCCTACCATAGTTGGGCTTACTATTGAAACCGTCGACTCTTCTTTTCAATTTCCTCAAATGAATGAATGAGTCCATTAATTATATCAATAAGGTGTTTTAAGCCTCTTCTGATGTATGTCCTTAACATTCACCTAATATAATTTCTTTTAGTTTTACATAGTTTTAATACTGTTGGATGAATAACCATGCATGCGTAGTGTCGTTAATGATTTCAATCCATTTCAACTAATCTAATTACGTAGCTTCGACACCATCTGTTAGGCATTGTTTAAGCTGTCTCTTTCCATGTACTCATGTTTCCAAAAAACATGCTCCGTTGATCTGCACGGCAACCATGTAGCTTCATGATATTTTCGTAACGAATCTCCAACAACAACAAAATTATATTTCATTCATGAAACTCGAGTCAAAATTGGGATCCTCGGCTTCTAGATTATGAAGCTTCTTCAAAGGCAATTGCTTTATAAACAGTTGGGTACGTGAAAATTCTCGGTTTCTTTGATAGTCTTCATATAAGATCCTTCAATGATAGTTGAAAACACCATTGTTGCTGTTCTTCTTCTCCTTCCTAGATCGAGAAAAATAAATATACCCCAAAATGGCGAAACAAGGGAGTGTGGAAAGTAGAAGAAATATTCTAAGAGATGAAGGATGCTACTGTTAGCTGAACATGTAAAGGGTGAAAATCCTTGTTACCAACAAATGCCATGGAAGAAACTTTATAACAGCTGTGACCGAAATAATTCTTGAGACTTCTGGGAAAGTAACGAAAAATGGGGTGATGTCGGTGAGTTGATTGTAGCTAAGATCCCAATGAACCGAATGAGATAAACTCGCTAAAACGGAAGGTATCCCTCCGTTAATAAGGTTATGATTAAGATAAAAGAGACTAGACTTACAAGGTGGCCAATTTTGTAAGGAATATGCCCTTCTAGATTATTGCTACCAAGTGACAACTTATGTAAGCCTCTAGATTATGCCTCCGTGTATGACCAAGTTTCCTCTCAGTGGATACCCGACCATTAGTCCCTCCTTTTTCATCATTGGCATTTTCCGTCTGAATTTTTCTTTCAGCATATAGCTTCATTTGAGGAAGGCAAAAGTCCGACTTTAAGACTTGCATAAATTTTGGGTGTGCAACTGGCAATTTATTCTTCAGAATTGAATTCCCTTGCAGGCCACTTTTAGAGTGATCAATCTGGCTGCTGCTGAGGCTAACATCTTCACAAGAATTCGAGAAAAGATCCTGAAGATAATTGGGTTTCTTAGAATCAATATCGGTATTTTCTTGTGGTGCTGCGGCACAAGATGGTGAGCAGCAGCGCATGGTGAGAGACTGAAGCGATTTGCAATCAGACCTAGATGAGGAGGGAATAAGCACCATGTGATTGGGAGATTCACCTCCTCCAACTGGCTTGACCTTCATGCAACAAAGATCGGGAAAAGATCTCATAAAATCACTAAGCTTAGTGTAGCCAAGAGAAACATGGTCTAGTTCCAAGCCGAATGCAGCCCTGAAATCTGCCTTCAACGATGACAAAGGGTATTCATCTTCCTTTGGTTTTTTTGATACCTCTTGTAAGAAACTGGGAAGCCATTTCTTGAACATTCTCAACCACGCTGGAATCTTTTGGTTTGAAGCAATTGGGCTAGCGAGTACTTCAGATTTAGAACACGTCTTGGGTTGGCCATGGAGTAATTTATTCACCCATGAGATTTGATCAGCTTTAGTCTCTTACAAGGCCTTCCTTCTCGGCATCTCTTCCGTAGTCTTTCCAGTGGAAGACTCCAATGGTGGTTGATATTGGTCATTTGGATCCTTCTGATGTTGCTGAAGTGACAACTTCAAGGACTCGTCCCATCTCCCAACCGCACTTTTAATTTCAACTTGCTTGTCCATAATAGTTACATAGTGCTCTTGAACAGCCTTCAAGACAGAATTCTCATGCTTAAAAATGACAAAGCCGAAGCCCCGTGACAGTAATTCATCACCTGTTTTAATGCTAACAACATGTGCATCTTCCACAGGCCCAAATTCATCTTGAAAAATTTTGCTCAATGAGTCTGCTCAAGAAAAAAAAGAGTCATAACTTATCTTGGCTGATCTAGTACTACATTTGCAATGCGTGCATATAAAACTAAATGACTCTAAACGATTTTAATAAAACTCTAACCTGAATCCAGAAGAGGATGGAGGCCACCCACAAAAAATTTTCTTTTCATTTTTTCCGCAGCATGAGAATGAACAAGATGCATTCCTTGTTTCGCCTGTAGAAGCTCCTATTTACCATGAGCATAAAAACACTTGGATCCTCTGACACATCCTCCAGATTCAAAGTACTTACAGATCTCTGTTTTTAAATTTATGTTGGTTCTGCAAAACACAGGCAGTAGAACATTCAGAAATAAAAACAAAACCCAACACACTCAAATAACACATATGAAGAGAATAGGACAGTGTGCTGGATGCTAGGGCTGAAAATTTTCCATGGTATAAAGTTTTTTAGAAGCTTCACCTTTCAGTATAGTTGCCTTCATCTTCCATGGTAAGAAGAGTTTCACATGTATAAAAAAAAACTCCATCACCTTGGAAACAAGTATATTTCTGTTGAATTGGGGAATTCCGATGCTCTGCACGTTAGAATATCATGAGATTGGATAAAACAAAGTAGGGATCATTAAGATTTATGACTTTACTTGTTATTACTATAAATATAACTTACTGAGAGTAATGTAAGTTTTGTTTAGAATGAACCGCATGTCCTGTGACTTCGCCAGGTCTATTGGCCTTTCTCTACTGTGGAACACGAAGACAACTGATGTTAGCTTTTGAAGTAAAATTTCAGTGGCAACTGAACTATTGCAACAATAAAGATGTAAACGTTAAAAGTATGGTTTTCAACCGTAAGTTGAGGACTTCGCTATTTGCTCCCCAGCGCTGCAGAAGATCAGCACATTCAATATGATCATTCTTCACAGCAAAAAACAATGGGGTCTCTTTCATTATAGTTTTGTAGTTGATTCCATCTGGATCTTCTAGTAGAAGTACCTATAAGAACAATAGAAAGGAAGATGCCAAAGGTAATTAACATCTTAAAGCTTGCAATCAGCGTAAGTTGATGAAACTATACTTGGAGTGCCTGTGCATTCCCATTGGCAGCAGCAATGTGGAAAGAAGTTGATTCTAATTTGTCCTTTTGGTTTACTCGGGTACCTAACTTCAGAAGGAGCCATATGATTCTGGCAACAAGAAATCAAGAAGGAATCGATCATGAGAAAAGGGAAAAAAATTCATGTATGCAGAGGGAGAAAGAGAAAGAGAGAGAGACCTAAGCTGCTGTGAAGATGAACCCCAGGATATTCTAAGGGACCAATGTGTCACGGACTTAGCCTAGTTGGTTCGGTTGCTAATCCGTGCGACACTCGAAAGGGACGCTTCCCAACCAAGTCAGCCTTAATCTCGTAGATCTGATCAAACATAAACAAACATCGCGTTAGATCTTTATAGCCACATGGTCCTTCGACCAATAATCCGAGCCCGTGGGGCATAGCGGATGCACACCTCAACCCCCGGACTTCTCCAAGAGAAAAATGTTTTATTAATAAAAGAAACATCGATTAGGCCGTAGGGGCGGCCCTCGATGGTTTTCACAAAACACATACCTTTACCTGTGGATCAGCCCAAACTCTGCCGGCTGTCCACCCCCTACATATATGCGAAAACAAAATAACAGAAATGCTACCTATAGACGTTGAAATGCTCGAACAGGGGACAATAAGTCATACCCCCACTCCCTACCTAAAACATTGAAATGCTTGAAAAGAGGACAAATTTATTCTACCCTGTCACTAGGCCTATACATGGTTGGCCTTGGCATGCCTACCCGATTGTGGCCCCATAAAAGGGACGGCCACGACAATATCCCCCACCTAATTTGTCGACGTCCTCATCGACTGCATGGCGTGGAACTCTTTAATCTTCTGCTTGAATGCCCTGAGGTCATACTCTCTTTCCCAAGTGTTCTCTTCCTGATCAAAGCCTCCCCACTTGACTAGATACTCCCGTCTTTGCTTTCCACCCACCTTAACAATTCTCCCTGCAAGAATCTCGTCAACATGACACTATGAGGGTGGTTGTGTGCCGATTGACTCCCTGGCAGGCATACTCTGATTATCGATATTGGGATCGGTGTGAAACGACTTCAAATTGCTCACATGGAAAACAGGGTGAACTCTCATCCAAGTAGGAGGGTCAACTTTGTACGAAGCATTCCCCACCTTTGCTACTATTGAGACTGGACCCTCGTACTTACGCACCAAGCGACGATCCCTCTGGCGCAAAAATCTAAGTTGTTTTGGCATCAACTTGACTAGCACCAAATCTCCAACCTAAAAGTGTAGGTCTCGTCTGTTATGATCTGCGCATTTCTTCATACGCTTCGCTGCTTTCTCCAAGTAAGCCTTGGCAATCTCCATATTCTGCTTCCACTCCCCCACAAAATTTGAGGCACGAGGGCATCTACCTTGAGAGGTCTCATCCACAGTATGAGGAAGTCTTGGTTGCTGACCTGTCACCAGTTCAAAAGGGCTTTTATTAGTAGATGAACTCTTTTGTGAATTAAAACATAATTGCGCCACATCCAATAATGGAGGCCAGTTCTTCTGATTGGCCTGAATAAAGTGCCTCAGGTACTCCTCCAAGAGTCCATTAAATCGCTAAGTCTGTCCATCTGTTTGAGCATGATAACTCGACGAAAAGTTGAGTTGTGTCCCCACTAACTGGAACAATCCCTTCCAAAATTTCCCAATAAATCTTCCATCTCGGTCACTGACTATGCTTTGAGGAATGCCCCAATATTTCACCACATGCGCTTGAACACCAACTTAGCAGTCTCTTCTGCAGAACAATACTTTGATGCTGGTATAAAAGTGGCGTACTTAGAGAACCTGTCCACTACCACCAAAATTGATCCAATATCTCCTACTCGAGGCAAGCGTGATATAAAATCCAAGGAGATACTCTCCCAAGGTCGGGCGGGCATGGGTAGTGGCTCGAGTAACCCGACAGTCCTTTGTCGATCTACCTTATCTTGTTGACAAATAAGACATGTCTTGGTGTAGTCCATCACATCTTGGAGTATTTGAGGCCAATAATACCCTTGTCCCAACAAAGTAACAGTACGCCTCCAACCGGGATGCCCGGCCCATGGGTATCATGACATTCCTTCAACAGCTTCTGTCGTAGATTTCCAGCTCGAGGAACAAACATTCGTGGCCCCTTTATCATCAATAATCCATTTTTATCCAAAAACATTTTGAAATACCCTTTTTAACTATCTCCATGAGGGCCATCACTTGCGGATCTTTCTTGGAAAAGTTCACAATTAGATGACGAATTTCATTGGACACTCTACTAGCATATATAGGAGCCACACATCGGAGATGCTACCAAATCTGCCCTGCGACTTAATGCATTAGCGACCTGATTCTTTTTCCCTGCCTTATGTTCAAAGATAAAGTCAAACTCGGCCAGGAACTCCTGCCATCTAGCTTGCTTTACTGTCAACTTTGGTTGTGTCAAGAAGTGGCTAACTGCTGTATTATCAGTCTTTACCACAAATTTGGAACCCAACAAATAATGTCTCTAAATCCTCAAACAATGAATTACTACTAGAAGTTCTTTCTCGGGAGCCGTATACCTCGCTTCAGTTTCATTCAGCTTCCTACTCTCAAACGCCACGGGATGTCCGTCTTAAAAGAGTACCCCTCCAATCGCATAGTCGGATGCATCTGTCTCTACTTCTAGAGGTTTTTCCAGGTCCGGCAAGGTAAGCACTGGTTCACTGCTTATCACCTTCTTTAAATTATCAAAGGCCTCTTGACAGTACTTGGACCAAACCCATTCACAACCTTTCTTCAGCAAATCAGTGAGTAATTTTACTCTACGATAATAGCCTTCCACAAATCGTCTATAATAATTAGCCAAACCGAGGAAAGATCTTAGCTCACTAACAGTTTGTGGGGTCGGCCACTCCTGTATAGCCTTCACCTTCTCCTTATCCATACGAATGCACCCTTTTCAATGATGTGGCCCAAAAACTGGACTTGTGTTTGGGCGAAAGCACATTTCTCCTTCTTCACGAACAACTGATTTTCCCGCAATCTCGTCAGCACCAATCGAAGATGCTCCTGGTGCTCTTCCATAGAAGTGCTAAAGATCATTATATCGTCCATGTAGATGACTACAAATTTATCAAAATAGTCATGAAACACCTGGTTCATCAAAGTACAGAAAGTAGCGGGAGCATTGGTTAGTCCAATGTTGGGTGAAAGGCATAGTTGCACGTGAAAGGCCTGAAGAAAAATTTATTATCCTATGGATTGTTGGATAATAATACAAGCAAGATTGAAACACAGAAAGGAATCATGAAGGTGTTCCGTGGAGCGCTTGTGGTGCTGAAAGGTGAAAAGATAGCTGCAAACTTGTACATGCTGAAGGGAGAGACTTTGGCAGAAGCAGAAGCCTCTGTTGCCTCATGTAGTTCAGATTCGGTAATGCTATGGCATCAGAAACTTGGACACATGTCAGAACAAGGAATGAAAGTCCTTGTGGAGCAAAAGCTACTTACAAGCTTAACAAAGGTATCACTTTCTTTGTGTGAGCATTGCATAACAAGTAAGCAGCACCGGTTGAAATTCAACACATCAAATTCTAGAGGCAAAAAATGTTCTAGAATTGGTTCACTCTGACGTATGGCAAGCACCAGTTACATCCCTAGGCGGAGCAAAATACTTTGTCTCATTTATTGATGACTACTCCAGGAGATGTTGGGTGTACCCTATTAAGAAGAAGTCAGATGTGTTTTCCACTTTCAAAAACTTCAAAGCACGGGTGGAACTTGATTCTGGAAATAAGATCAAGTGTTTCAGAACAGATAATGGAGGAGAATACACAAGCAAAATTTGATGACTTTTGCAGGAAAGAATGCATCAAAAGACAGTTCACAGTGGCGAACACTCCTCAACAAAATGGAGTGGCAGAGCGGATGAACAGAACCTTGTTAGAAAGAACAAGAGCAATGTTGAGGGATGCATGCCTAGAAAAATCATTCTGGGCAGAAGCAGTCAATATCGCCTGTTATTTGGTGAATCGAGCTCCATCAAATGCAATTTAGCTGAAGACACCAATGGAGATGTGAACTGGTAAACCAGCTGATTATTCAAACCTCAATATATTTGAAAGTATTGTGTACGTGATGTACAACTCCCAAGAAATCTCAAAGCTGGATCCAAAATCCAGGAAATGCAAATTCTTGGGATATGCCGATGGTTTAAAGGGGTATCGCTTGTGGGATCCCACTGCCCACAAAGTGATCATTAGCAGATATATTATCTTTGTAGAAGATAAGCTACAAAGAAAAGAAGAAGATGGTAGTGCTGAAAAGTCAGAGACTACACAAATACATGTGGAAAATGAGTTTGAACAAGGAGATTCTTCTTAAGCAGAACCAACACATGATGAACAAGAACCATAGAGTTCTGAAGCTCCAACAACTCGTGTGAGAAGACGTCCCAATTGGCACTCAGATTATGTTATAGAGAAGGCAATATTGCATACTGCCTTTTAACAGAGAACGGTGAGCCATCAACATATCAGGAGGCAATAAACAACTCAGATGCTTCACTATGGATGATGGCGATGCAAGAAGAAATCGAAGCCCTTCATAAAAATAATACATGGGACCTTGTGCCACTACCACAAGGAAGGAAGCCAATTGGTAACAAATGGGTCTTTAAAATCAAACGAAATAGTGACGATCAAGTTGAGAGGTATCGTGCAAGACTGGTGGTCAAAGATATGCTCAAAAAGAAGGTATTGATTTCAATGAAATATTTTCTCCTGTGGTTCGACTAACAACAGTTCGAGTAGTTTTGGCAATGTGTGCTACATTGGACTTACATCTAGAGCAGCTAGATGTTAAAACATCTTTTCTTCATGGAAATCTTGAAGAAGAAATATATATGCTCCAGCCTGAAGGTTTTGAAGAAAAAGAAAAGAAGAACTTGGTTTGTAGGTTGAACAAATCTCTGAACGGTCTAAAGCAGGCGCCGAGGTGTTGGTATAAGAGATTTGATTCCTTCATTATGTGCCTCGGATACAACAGACTTAATGCAGACCCCTGTGCATATTTCAAGAGGTCTGGTGATAACAATTTTGTTATATTGCTGTTGTATGTGGATGACATGTTGGTTGCAGGACCTAACAAAGATCATATTGACGAATTAAATGCACAATTGGCTAGGGAATTTGATATGAAGGACTTGGGATCAGCAAACAAGATTCTAGGGATGCAAGTTCACCGAGACAGAAGTAATATGAAGATTTGGCTTTCACAAAAGAATTACTTAAAGAAGATCTTGTCACGATTCAACATACAGGATTGCAAGCCAATTTCTACCCCTCTTCCTATTAACTTCAAATTATCCTCCAGTATGAGTCCTAGCAGTGAAGAAGAGAGGATAGAGATGTCTCGAGTACCGTATGCATCGGCAGTGGGAAGTTTAATGTTCGCTATGATATGCACAAGACCAGACATTGCACAAGTTGTGGGAGTGGTTAGTCGGTACATGGCGAATCCAGGCAAAGAGCATTGGAATACAGTAAAGAGGATCCTGAGATACATCACAGGGACCTCAAATGTTGCATTATGTTTCGGAGGATCAAACTTATTTTATAAATGGGTATGTCGATTCTGACTATGCATGGGATTTGGATAAAAGCAAATCTACTATAGGATATGTGTTCAAAGTTGCTGGTGGAGCTGTAAGTTGGGTTTCAAAATTGAAGTCAGTTGTGATTACATCCACAATAGAGGCAGAATATGTAGCAGCTACACAAGCCAATAAAGAATTAATTTGGTTGAAGATGCTATTGAAGGAGCTTGGGCACAATCAAGAGTATGTCTCTCTGTTTTGTGACAGTCAAAGCGCATTGCATCTAGCAAGGAATCCAACATTTCATTCAAGGACAAAGTACATACGAGTTCAGTACCATTTCATTCGTGAAAAGGTGGAAGAAAGGACGGTAGATATGCAGAAGATCCATACCAAAGACAACATAGCAGATTTCATGACGAAGGCAATCAATGCTGATAAATTTACCTGGTGTCGATCCTCTTGTGGCTTGACAGAAATATAAGCAACATGAAGGTACAAGGTAGAAAGAATGGTGTGAAGATATGATTGTTCCAAATCAAATCTTCAAGTGAGAGATTGTTGAAAGTCTTTGCACTTTCGGTGCATTGAAAATGGCAGCATAATTGGACGACAAATATGGTCAAAATTTGGCCACCAAATTTTGAATTTATGTAATTGGTAAATGACAAATTTAGTCATTGCAATTTAAGGTATTTACAATATTAGTCCTTAAGGCTTCAACTATAAATACCCTACCACATTTAGCTTCAAAACCATCCCAAAGCATTCTAGCTTTCTTTCAATACTAGAGAGAATTTAGAGAGTTTCTTTAGAGTTGTTTTCTACTTTTTATCAAGAAAGAATTATCATTGTTTTCTCCTTGGTAGATCGAGAGAGGTTGTAATTTCTATTTTCTCATAGTGAAATTCTTCTACCGTTGCTCGTGATTTTTATCCTATATTATTTAGGGGTTTTCCACGTAAATTTTGTGTCTTCTTTATCTTCATTTTATTTTCTCAAATTATCAATTACGATTTTACTCTATCCAATAACCGTCTTCCGCAACAATAAATGGCAAGAACTTGCATTATTTTTGTTAATTACCAAAAAGAAAATAATAATAGATAAGAAAATACGATGAACCCAGAATAGAAAAAGCAACATTTCCAAAAAGGGCCATTACTTAGCAGTCTTCCTCAAAATACCACACAGATTTTGCCTCTTTAGAAACAGGAAAAAACATTTTATTTTCCTTTATTTTCAATTTTTTTACCTGCTACTAGACAATGCCATTTCCAGAGCAAGCAGACTTCGTCCATCTTTACTCCTCGTCTCTGTACGGGCGCGTTTCTTTAGCAGCAACTTCAAACAACGCGCCGAGTGAGCCTCCGCCGCAGCCTGCAAAGCCGTCGTTTTCGTCTCCGTGTCAACCCCATTTACCAGAGGGATAAAGTCGGTTCCGACTTCTCCGTTGAGCAGCGACGTGGTGCATTCGATAGCGTCGAAGTAACAGCAGAGAAGGAGAAGCTTCAATGCCAAGCCTCTTCGGTTCGAAGGATCGTCATCCAAGTCGTAGACGAGTTGACGCGAGTGAGTCAAGAAGAGATTCCTGTCGTCTTGTGTGACCGAGTTGACGAGGGCGGTTTCTAAGTTGTTGAGTAGCGCTGCTTTTATTGGCGTTAAGTTTTGGAAATTGTCTTCATTTGATAAATCACCAAGTCTTCGATTTTCTTTTTCCTGCGAATCGTAGGAAAGATAAAAGCAAAATTTTAAAACAAAAGAAAATAAGAAATGAAATTTCCAAACTTGTTTGGAAGCTCGGCAATGAGAGAAAATAGAAAGACGGATGGTTTTCCAACTGAATGAGCTTCATCCTTTGTTTTTTTTTCCTTGTAAAACTTCAAAATGAAGTTGCAAACTGAAATAATAGTAAATATTCCAAAAAAAAAACTCTAATCTTTTTCCAAAACTTTCCCAATTGAGTTTCGTTTCAACAACTTTCATAATAGTAGAGAAAAACGCTAATGAAAATAAATAATTGAAGCTTAAGAGAATATTATCGCACCGGATCCATCCGCAAAGAAAGAAGGCCTAAATTTTGGGCTCCAAAATCAGATTCAACGACAATGCCTCCATTATCGACACCAAACAAAGCTTCAATATTACAACTTATATAATAAAAAGCCAAGGAAAAAAAGATTCCCAGTGGAGAACAAAATAAGAATTGTAGTTCTCTTGTTTGGTAGGACGGGGAGCAGAAACCGTTTGAATGAAAGAGACGGAGGCTCATACTTATAGGGGCGGATTTGGGATTGGGTGAATTAACTGTATTTAAATATGCTTTTTGAAGTCCACATTTGTTTACATGTGTTTGGTAAAAAGAAATTGTGGTAAAAGTTTGTGAAATGAATTTTCTGAGCGGTTGATATTGTTCTATAAAATTATTATGTACTATTATTAAACTGATTAAATAAAATATTTTTTAATATTCTAAATTATAATTCGTTTTATATTATTTTAATTCATGATATATAAAATAAAATCTTATTATTTAATTGGATAAGGTATATTATTAATCACTAAATTTTAGGTTGTATATCAAATTTAGTATATTATTATTAATCTTATTATTTAATTGGATAAAGTATATTATTATTTAATTGGATAAAGTATATTATTAATCGAATAAGATTTCTAAGTAGATGCGAATGATTTGCAAAAACCACTGGTTTATAATTTAGTATTGGGAGTGTTAGTCTCTTCAACTTGAATTTAATCATTTATTTTTTGTGGTTGTATTCGACTGGAGGTTAACAAGACGGTTCATTTATGAATCGATCAACTTTATTTTATCAGAATCATGTCATTCTTGGGTTACTATCCTTATTAGTATTTGATTTGGAAAATTTATTTATGAAACAATTAGTTTTATTTTTTATTATAATGTTGTGATTAATTTTGTGAGTTTTAAAAATATTTTAAGAAAACCAAAATTAATAATTGGTAAAGAATGGTGATGTAAATTTTTTGGTGTCTAGGATGTTAGAGAAATATATATTTTATAACAAATAAAATAAAGTGAAAAATCCTAAAATTATATTATTAAGATGATGAGATGAAAAGAGAGAGAAAGATATGACATGTTCAGATAAAATGAATTAAAAATATTTTTATAGTTTTCACATCAAAATATTAGGTAATTTGATTATTAAGTATTTAATAATAAAATTTTAATTATCACAACAAGATAAATTCTAAAATTTAAAATCCTAGGGATCAAATACCCGGATTGCGTGGGGAGCATAAAAAGGGAGGGTATTAAGGGAAGAAAGACTGTATAAATCAATGAGTGAAACAGTCTCTGTCTTGTGCAAAAGAAGTACAAGACAGAGCAAAGAAGTACTGCCACGCGTGTTAGTAATCTAAAATGACGAATACGCCCTTTTCGTTTTTCTTTCTTTATCCCTATTTGGTTGAATTGAATTGAAGCGAAGCAAAGCAAATTGTACATACAAAGGTAGAAATAATTGGCATATTATTTAAACACAATTAATTGAGTATTTAATTTATTAAATAATGATAAATATATTTATGCATTATATTGATTGATTATAATTCTAATTATATAAATATATTAATTTTAATTTAAAATATATACATTTGATTATGTTTTTAGGTAGACCTATCTAAGGATTTTGAACAGAAGTCTTTCAATTTGATTTAGTTTAAAATATTATTTAGCATTTTTAGCCTTTGAAATTTTCTGAAAAAGAAAGTTAGTTATGTGGACATTTAATTTTATATGACATGTTTAAGGATGAATATGAGTTCGATTCGGTCAATTTTTTATTGTTTTGACATCGATTCGAGAATTATATATCTATACTCTATTAATTAATTTGGTTCAGTTTTAAAGGATTCATATATGTCACGAACTCGACTTGTAACATGAGGGTGAATATCCATCTCAACCGTAAATTATCTAAACTAAAAGTAAGATTAAAAAAAAATGTAAAAAGAAAAAAAAAACCAGAAACAAATGAGAGAAAAATAAAATAAAACAAGACACATCTTTTTGGTATTATGGTTTTCGATGATTGAGGATTTTTTATATAATTATAATGGCGAATGGACTCTTATTGGTCCGGGGGACGATTTAGTTATATTTCGACTTCAATGACGACGAATGAAGAAGATCATAAATAAAGGAGATGAACGATTTCAGTTTGGATTCAAACAATGAAGTATTTTTTTGGAGAAACGAATACTAATTCAAAATTAAGAGGCTTGAATTAGTAATGCCAATCATAAAACCAGATCGAATTTGAAAATAAAAAACAATTAAAAGAAGAACTTAAGACAAGAGAAATTAAAATTTTTATATGAAGAATGAACATATGTTCTCTTATTGTAATCAATTAAATATAATTAAAATGTAGCAGAAAATGATATATTATTATTAAATTTATAATTAAATAAGAGAAAATAATCTCAGTGACAAAAAATGCCTTATAATATACGATTTTAACCAACTTTTTTGGATTTGCCAAAATGACCAACTAAATCGTAATGCGATCGATAATTCGTAACGCGATCTCCGGTATCGCAAATCAGTTTCCAGATTCGCAACGCGAACTTCGACTATCGCATTGCGATTTACATATTCGCATTGCGATAGTCGAAGTTCGCGTTGCGATTTATTTCAAATTCGTTGCGATAGTCCAAGTTCGCGTTGCGATTTATTCCAAGTTCGTTGCGATAGTCGAAGTTCGCGTTGCGATTTATTCCAAATTCGTTGCGATAGTCCAAGTTCGCGTTGCGATTTATTTCAAGTTCGTTGCGATAGTCCAAGTTCGTGTTGCGATTTATTCCAAATTCGTTGCGATAGTCCAAGTTCGCGTTGCGATTTATTCCAAGTTCGTTGCGATTGTCAAGTTCGCCACGACCACGACCACGACACGAGACGAGACGAGACGGCGACGGCGGCGGCGCGCGAGATTGCCCCTTGTTCTCTATCACTCAACAAGGAAGTGGGAAAGCCAAGCCTTAAATACCATTCCCAATAGTATTTCCAATACTATGTGGGATTGAGCATTACCAACACTTGTTCCCAATACTATGTGGGATTGAGCCTTAAATAGTGATATTCTTTTTGAATGTTTTACTTAAAATTGCAATAATCGCGATTGATTGTAGATTGACTTTTAATTATGACATATTTAATCGTATAATACTAATGCAATTGGTTGCTGATTCAGTTGTTTTAAGGTACATGATTGTTAATTGTTTCCTGAATAATCACATTGTATTGGGAACAAGTGTTGGTAATGCTCAATCCCACATAGTATTGGAAACACTATTGGAAACACTATTGGGAATGGTATTTAAGGCTGATTCAGTTCAAGTTCGCCTCGCCTCGCCTCGGGTCGTGGTCGTGGTCGTGGTCGTGGTAATACGTGTCTTCGACACGTCCGCGCGAATACTATCTTTTTAGAGAAAATTCTTAAGAAATAAATGCAATATCACCAGTCGTTGCGATTTTGAACTATCGCAACGAATTTGGAATAAATCGCAACGCGAACTTCGACTATCGCAATGTGAACTTGGACTATCGCAATGCGAATATGTAAATCGCAATGCGATAGTCGATTATCGCAATGCGACCTTGGACTATCGCAATGCGAACTTGAACTTGGTCATTTTGGCAAATCCAAAAAAAGTTGATTAAAATCGTATATTATAAGGCATTTTTTGTCAATGAGGTTATTTTCTCATTAAATAATATTAAGTAATAAATTTCTTTAAGCATAATTATTAAAAATGATTTTATAAATTTAGGGACGAATTCAGGCCATTCTTATTCATAAAGTATAAAAATTTTATATTGATGCTCTATATTTATTCTCAAAATTATTTTAAACCCGTACAAATTAATAGGATAAAACCCTAACCCTTTTTGTTGGATGCAAGAATAAGGGGAGAATTGGGGTGGGATCCGTATATAGTTGTCGGGGTCGGACCCATTTCATTATTCACGTACAGTTACAATCATATGATTGTCTGCGGTACGACGTACGTCCCATTCGCATTTCGCAATGCCAAAACATGATTTTCCCGTCCATACAAAGTCATTTGAGGGAACATCCTTAATTACTCCTTTTGTTCGTCTTCTAAAAAGGTAATTGGACTAATTTATGTTGATTGAATGGAAATGATAAAATATCAAACCAAAATAAATTTTAAATTTAATTTCTGAATCCTCAAAATCATCCAAATATGTAATTACATATTTAAAAAGAAGATCATAGTTTAGGGATGAAATTGGAATTGTCAAAAGTTTAGGATGTGATTAGTATATGTATATAGTTTGAGATAAAATTGGAATGTTCAAAAACAAAAAGTTTGGGGACTTATTTAGAATGGAAATTATAGTTTGGGGATGGAAGTGAAATGTTCATAAATTAAAGAACTAATTTACAATGATAGTCTTAGTTTAGGGATGGATTTAGAATATTTAAAAATTTAAAGACTAATTCAAAATGAGAATCGTAATTAGGGGACATATGATACAATTAACTCTTTGAGCAATAAAATTATAGTTTTTAAACTATTATTAACAATTTATTTTGATTTCTACCGGACCACGATAATTCAAAATTGATATATTTACAGAGTATTTATACATAATTTACATAAAATAGATGGAAACTTAAGATTTGAAAGTTTCTAAATCTTTTATCTTATCTTGATTTTTTTTTATAGTTTACATCTTTTTAACATCACACGATGGTCAAATGATAAGGACTTTAATGTATTCAATGTAAGATCTTAATTCAAATTTTATGGATCTAAAAATATGTATAATAAGAAAAGTTAAAAAAAATCATAATTTCATACTTACCTAAATTTGGACTCCAAATCCTGATCCCTTTTTCCCTAAAAGATTCTTATTTGTAATATTTTTTATCGTGCTTCCAAAACGAGTTAGAGCGTCAGCTACACCATTCACCTTAGTCTCATCAGGTCATGATCCATTTTGATGGACGTGTTTCTTTATCTTACTAAAATTTTAATAAAGTGGCAATCTTAATTTAATTAAGTTTAAAATTTTAAGAATATAATAATATTAAATATAAAAAATTTAATCATTATAATCTTATCTAATTTGACGGATTTATAGATTCGTTCCTATCGACTTAGTCAAAATATTTGATTTTTTAAAACTGTTTTCGATATTTAATTTATACTAAATTAAGTTTTTACTATCTAATACAATACAATTAAAATATTATACACTTAACACAATATTTTTTTCTTTCTCTACCTCCAAACTCTATTTCTCTAACTCACACTTTTCTCACTCTTTCAACAATCATAAATCTCACTTTTATTTATATATTTTAGTGGTCATTTGATTATGGACATAGATCAACATTTATGTTATTAGTATCCTAAATATCACTTTGTTTCGTTTTGATCACCAACTATTTTTTGTTTCAAAATTATACCTAATGTTTATTTTTGGTTTCATTTTAGTCACCCACAATTAAAAAATTAACGATGATATTGATATGTAATCATTAAAAAAATATCACATCAATAATTCTGTTAATTTTTTTATAGTTGGTGACTAAAATAAATCAAAATTAAAAGTTATGTATGTTTTCAAAATAGCACCTAATGTTTAGTTTTGGTTTCACTTTTGTGTAGCCATTGTTTTGACAAAGCATGTTTCTTGTTACCTCAATTTGGTTTTCAGGTATGTATACGGTATTTAGAAAAATTACTGCAAGTTTAAGGTAAAAAGGAAAAGATACATTAAAACTTGTTGAGAATTTGGACACTACAATAGACATGGAAAAAAAACAGAAGCAAATTGACTGACCAATAAGTCCATTGGCAGACCCCTACATAATCTAGCCTAATACTCATCCCCTTCATCTTCATCCCCTTCACCAGATTCCAACCCAACTTCTTCATAATCTTTCTCAAGAGCGGCTAAGTCTTCTCGAGCTTCCGAAAACTCACCTTCCTCCATTCCCTCACCAACATACCAATGCACAAATGCCCGCTTGGCGTACATCAGATCAAACTTGTGATCAATCCTGGAGAACACTTCGGCAACACTTGTGGAGTTGGAAATCATGCAAACCGCCCTTTGAACCTTGGCCAAGTCCCCACCGGGCACCACGGTCGGGGGCTGGTAGTTGATGCCACACTTGAACCCGGTGGGACACCAATCGACAAACTGGATAGTCCTTTTGGTCTTGATTGTTGCCACTGCAGCATTCACATCTTTAGGCACCACATCTCCTCTGTACATCAAGCAGCAGGCCATGTATTTCCCGTGGCGCGGATCGCATTTGGCCATCATCGAAGACGGTTCAAATGCACTATTTGTGATTTCGGCCACCGATAGTTGCTCATGGTAGGCCTTTTCGGCTGAAATCACCGGGGCATATGATGACAACATGAAATGGATTCTAGGGTATGGGACCAAATTGGTCTGGAACTCAGTCACATCAACATTCAAAGCACCATCGAATCTCAAAGATGCAGTCAAGGAAGAAATGACCTGCAAAACACAATCAATGAAAACAATCGAAACGATCTATCACTTAATAGTTTGAGTAACTCAAAAAACTTTGTTACCTGAGATACCAGCCTGTTGAGATTAGTGTAAGTAGGCCTCTCGATGTCCAGAGATCTTCGGCAAATATCGTAGATGGCTTCGTTGTCAAGGAGAACAGCAACATCAGTGTGCTCCAGGAGAGAATGAGTGGATAAAACACTATTATAAGGCTCTACAACAGATGTGGAGACTTGAGGGGAAGGGTAAACAGTGAAACCAAGTTTTGATTTCTTGCCATAGTCCACAGAAAGCCTCTCAAGAAGCAAAGAGCCAAGCCCTGATCCTGTTCCACCACCAACAGCATGGAACACCAAAAATCCTTGAAGCCCAGTGCAGTTATCTGCGAGCTTCCTGATCCTATCAAGGCAAAGATCCACTATTTCCTTTCCAACTGCAACAAAGAACGTTACCTTAGTGCCAATGACAGTGGATTCAGTGGGGGGAAATATTGAACTTGGGAACTGAATTTTTGCTTACTTGTATAATGGCCTCGGGCAAAATTATTGGCAGCATCTTCTTTGCCACTGATAAGCTGTTCGGGGTGGAACAATTGGCGATAATCCCCGGTCCGAACTTCATCGATAACAGTTGGTTCCAGATCCAAAAAGACAGCACGAGGGACATGTTTGCCGGCGCCGGTTTCACTGAAGAATGTGTTGAAAGCATCATCTCCACCTCCGACTGTTTTGTCACCGGGCATTTGACCATTAGGCTACACAAAGAAGCAAAACATTTAAGTACCTAATGAAGAAAGATATGAGAATATTGGTTTTATGTTGGAAAAAAAACAATGACCTGAATGCCATGTTCAAGACAGTAGAGCTCCCAACAGGCGTTACCAACTTGGATACCAGCTTGACCAATGTGTACTGAAATGCACTCTCTCATTTTTGGTTAGTGAAAAAGAATACAAGACGAAAGCAAAAGGGAAAGTAGGGAAGAAGACGATCTTGAGAATAAGTGATTAGAGTTGTGTGCGAAATGAAAGGGTGATTTGAAATGCTATAAATAGAGAGGTAAAATGGGAGATTTTCGGGGTAAGTGGCTGAGAAACGGCTATTAATTTTGAATAAAGGGGTTTGAATTGGAGGATTCTAGAGATACCGTTGAAGGGATTTGAATTTTGAAATATCGAACGGTTATGACTCACTTCTTTCTTCTTTGGCATATTAGAATAATGACTATGGGGAATAGGCATGTAAACCAACCGAACATTCAACTAACCGTTCGTGATTTGTTTGGTAAAGTTTGTTTATATTCGTTTATTTATTAAATGAACGAATATGAATAAGATTTTGTGTTCGTTTAATTAAATGAACGAACACGAACAGAGGGCTTGTTCGTTCATTTACGTTCGTGAACGTTCGGTAATATGTTCGTTTATGTTCGTTCGTTTATGTTCATATTTTTTTGTGTTTATTTATGTTCATTTTTGTGTGTTTATTTATGTTTAGCTTAATCTCTCTAGACCCATTTAAAATATTAAAACTCAATAAATTTTAATCTAATACCCATAAATATTTTTAAAATTCAATTAACTTTAAATACAAATAAAAAAACCTAAAACAATTAAATATAATATAATCCTAAAACTGTTAGGAAAGAAAAAATTATATTTTCATTTATCTTCGTTTACGTTCATTTATTGTGTTCGTTTACGTTTGTTTATTTGTGTTCGTTTATGTTCATTTATATCCATTCGTTTATGTTCATTAATTTGTGTTCGTTTATTATTTAAATGAACGAACACGAAAAAGCTACATTCCTTAAATAACGAACACGAACAAGAATTTTTTTATTCGTTTATGTTCGTGTTCGTTCATTTGTTCGATTAAAGTTAAACGAACGAACATGAACATACCCATTCGTGTTCGTTCGGTTCGTTTACATGCGGATATCATAGTGTTTATTGCAGGTACATTGATTAACTTTTTTTTCAATATGTTTTAATTAAAATATAGGTATTGGACCCCCCCCCCCAAGTGTTTGTTTAATATTTCATTACTGATATTATTTTAAAGTTGATTTATTAATATATTTAAAATAATTATAACCATGTGAATGAAAATGGATAGCTTGTATTCTAATTCTTAATTAATTTTAATCTTCTATTAAAAACCAACCTAAAATCTTTAATTTTCTAAAAAAAATCTCAAATTTCCTAAAATCCTTTCTTTATCATTTATCGTCATCGAGCATATCATCATTATTTATTGTCTCTCTTTTATCGTGGTAAATCGAAAAACAAGAGACTTCATTGCTACAACGGTGGGATGGTGTTCGACAATGGTAGATGGAATTTTAGGATTTAATTTTTTGTTTGAATGGTATGAGATAATTAGTATATGTTTTTTTAATATTTCTTAGTTTATTGACAATATATGCACACTTTGCAGAAGCAACTGTTCAAAACTCAAAAACTCTAGAAAGAACAACATTCTCTTTCCAGCATTAGGGTCACTCAACGGGTTCGAGTGAAGAATATTTTAACGAACACTAATAGTTTGATCTTAAAATGATATCAGAATGAAACATTAAATACTTACACATTTATTTCTCAAATAAGTCATTTTATTAGTAATCTTTTTTTCTAATAGTCATTGTGATTACTTGGTAGTATCTGATTATAATTTTTCTTAATCATTGACAATGTGTACGCGCCTTGCAGAATACATATACAGTTGTTAGGACATGAAATTTTACGGGAAAACAATATTCTCTTTAACTATTCACATCATCCAATAAATTTTATTATTTATATTCTATTATGAAACATATAATATATTGTAATCATCCTAACTATTTAAAAAAATCGATGGGTTGAATTTTGAACCCAACTCAAACTTTTCATTGCCTCAAAGCCCACACAATCAATATGCTACATCGGCTTCAAGTCTACAATTAAATGGGTCTGGTTTTAGCGTCTCCATGTATGATTTTCGGCTCTATAATGATAAGAGAGTGGACTCGGGCCTGTTAAATGCTCACTCAATGACAGAAATGTTTTCTTCTTTTCATCCCTTCCTCTAAACATTAAAATGTAATCAGCTTATAGGAGAGCGAAAAACTCAATATAATTTAGTTAATTTGTTTTTAATTTCAGTTTAAAAGAGTGTTTTAAAATATGTTAAGCCAATATAATTTGGGCTACATTAATTTATAGTAATTAATATGTATAAAGATTTTCTTATCCTCACACTTACCGTTTTTCAAATTGTGGTATGAGTTTCTTTTCTTACTTCAAATCAACCCAAATGACAATTCAACTATCAAATGAATATTATAGATATATAAAGAAGTAACTTTATAATAATATATAAAATTAAATTTGATATAAATTAAATATGAAATCATAAAGTTTTTTAATCCAAGAGGCCGACCTTACAAACTGGAGTGACCCTTGAAGTATGAAGCACTCATGAAAACTTTTTTTAATAATAAAAAAATCATTTCCAGATGAGAAAAGTCATGTAATTATATGGTTGGATGATTTGTTGTAATTTGGAGTTACAAAAAAGTAATAATAATTAAGATTTATGATAGCTGAGGACCCTTGCCAGTAAGATATGGCCATGGGGGGTTTATTTCTCTAAAGAAGAAATTAAGGGCACCCCACAAAGGCCTTCCCTTTTGCATTTTTTTCTTTATACACTAGGGATGTTGAAAGGGAAAAAAAAGTTAATCATTTGATGTGTAGGGCAGTTTTAGCTTAAGTGTATAAACAAATATGTGAATGATGATGGATTAGTTGGGATAGTTCAATGATTGTTAATACAAAATTACAGCTAAAACAAATTCAGTCTAAGTACTCACATAATGACTCGTAGAGTATTGTGGTCCATTCCTTCTTTCTGCTGCCTTTAGGAATGAAGGAGTATGAAATGAAAATACCCATTCAAACTATAGACTTAGAATATCTGAGGGTAAAAGGCTTAACCCTTAATTATTTGGAAGAAAGCATATCACATGGAGGTATAGTACAAAATGTTATTAAAACATAAACAAGCACCAAAAATGAATCTTATGTTCCCAAAAGACCCTACAACTCAACCAAAGCCCACTTCATTTCATTTACAACAATAATCATCCTTTAGCATCCAAAACAACTTGCCCTTTGTTTTTATTTTATCACTTTTCATATAAACTCTTTTAACCGGCATCAACCCAGCGTTAAATAAAATTATTTTGTTTCTTAAAGAAATTATAATTAATAATTAATACATGCAATGATTATGATCAATATCAGACTTATTTTTTCAAAAAAAAAATCTTCAACTCATAATGTATATTATATATATTTTTAATAATATGAGATGATTATAAAATAATATTTATTCATAACTTTCTTAATTCATTGATAACGCGTATACACTCTGCAAATGTTGTTGTTCGAACCTAAAACTTCTATAAAAATCAATATTCTTTTTTACCACTGAAATTACTTAATAAATTCTTATAGTTTTATTTTTAACAAAAGAATAGAAACATTAGGTTAGACCGACCATTTTCCTTCTCTTAGGTCCCTTAATGACCTTTGATCTAACCCTTTTTTCCCCTTCATCAAAGCATGTATCTTAAATGAGTCTAATTATTTAACCTTTTTTTTTAATTTCTAGCTCTAAGAATTAGGAGGGTCGTACGATCAAAGTTCTTCAATTTGTCATTTCCCTTAAACTTTCATCACACATTGAAACATATAAGCATATTAACTGAAAAAAATAGAAATCAATCAGATAATGGAAAGGGACTTGTTGCGTAATCTCAGGGTGGTCAATATGTACAGGTGCATGTCAATCGGTTGGTTTAATATTTTAAACGAATTTTAATATTTTTATCTTATTTATTTTTAAGGGTAAACTATACTAATAATCACTAAATATTTAGGACATTTAAATTTAGTCATCGATTTTTTTTATTTTACTATCGTAAAGAGATCACTTGAATATACATACGTAGTAGAAGGAATTCCACATTTTTAGAGACAGATCACTGTGCATATAGTGCAAGGCGTATTTAATGGCGAGAGGAACTGAAAGGCATTGTATTGTTGACAAAATATTTATGTTAAACAACGGATGAAAACAATTATATTCATTCTATAAAAATATATTAATAATTTTAATTACAATTTAATATAAATATTACTTCTATAAAAAAAACGTAATAACTTCATATCTTGGTACAATAAGCAAACGTTGGATTCTTTCTCAAAGATTTAAAATTTTCTTATAAGACGATGGTATATATCATTACCTTAGTGAATCACACTCGTTTATTAAAGAAAATAACATGTCAGTGTAGTGATTCGGACGTAGCTAATTATTTAACGAGAAAATAATCATAATAAAGATATTCCTTAAAAAACTTTTTAATTTCAATGATCAAAGTACAAACATCCTAAAAATCTGGTGATCATTAGTGTAATTTATCCCATTTTTATTTTTTATTACAATTTAAAATAAAATATAATAATTTAATCAAGTTTTGATATACATTGTAGATTTGAAAATATATTATAGGAGTATGTGAAATTATTTGGAAAATACTTAAATTTAAAATGATTTATCAAAAGCATCAATATATATATCAATATCTTAACAAAAACGACACATCCATTAGTATGATACATAGTAAGTTGATCAATTCTTAAGTTGCATTTGTCGCCTAATCCCGGATTTAATACGAATCTATACCATATTTATTATTTATTATTTAAAAGAATAATCTTTTATACCTAATCGAGGAATCCTCTTGTTTTATATAAGCATTGTACTATTAAAACAAATATATTTTATATTTAAATATTTTTTTAATTAGATCGATGGATTTAATCAATATAAGAATTAAATTGAAAAATGAAAATCCGTCAATTGAAGCTAGAGATTTTCGATCATTGCTCAAAATAACAAAAAAGAACAAAGTATTCATAATTTAATGGATAAAGTAAAGTTATCATGCGATTTATTAATTCCATTGCAACTAATCATAA